GCCACGAGTCGCACCCGCTCCGTCCCGTTGGAGTAATGACACTCGGCCTTCCCCAGAAGCAAGAAATGTGCTGTGTGGACAGGAAAGAGTCAGTCACCTGGGCGGCTCCGGGAAAGACTGAAGGCCAGGGCACCAGTGCTCGGCGCTCCGGCGGTTGTGGGGGTGGGGAGGCGCTAGGAGGCCCTCGGGGGCTCCACAGGCACCCCAACTACTAGCACCCCACGGGCTCTTCTTTCTCCGCCCGGTGCAGACGGAGACTGGAGGCGTGAGGTGGGCCGGATGAAGGACAGAGGAACCCCCTTGTCCAGAGCCTTTTGCCTCTATGCTTCCACTGCCTGCTCCTGTGCTTGGCTGGAGCCCTCCAACCAAAGCTGGACAATCACCATCACCCCCATCACCTCCTCCTAGAAGCCTCCACTGGAAAGACACCCCTCTCTCATCTCCCCCTCCCCACCACCTCACCCCCAGGGTACCAGAGTACCACCACCCCAGCTCTTTAGCTGTCCCTTAAACATGTCCATCTCATTCCCTGATCACTTGGGTAGGGCTGACATGCTGCCATGCCCATCTTGCCCCCTGGGAATCCAAAGAAGGTGACAAGTATCTCCCTTCCTCTCCTGGAATTTGAAATTTAGTGAAAGTAAAATGAGCTGAAGGGGAAAGGTGGGTGGGTGTATATGTTTGGGATAAAAGAGAGGCACCTTTCAAGTAAATGTAATACCAGACAAATGCTTAAAAGAGTTGATGAACCTATTGGAGAAACCAGAGGAAACATTTCCATGAAGCACAGAGAGTGGGAGGGAGGAGGGTAAAAGAGGAGACTGGAGAAATCACATGGAGCCTGGTACTGAAAAGCCTTAGAGATGATGTTAGCATTTTGACTTTATACTAAATGTAATATGTAATGAGAACTATGAATGAGTTTTAAGGAGATTAAAATCATAAACCCAATACAGGGCCACAATTCCTTTTCTGCATTTCCAAATCAAGAAAGCTCAGAAAATCAGTTTTGTTTTTTTAAAAAAGATTTTCCCAGCAAAATAAATTTGTTTAGGACCAAGCCTTACTTATTTCTTTGCCTTGCAAACCAGCTGCAAAGACATATAAGTTATCCACACATTCTCTTCTTTCTTAATTTCTCTGTCACTGATCCACTACTTA